CTACAGCACATGATTCGACGCAGCTCACCTGAATCATTCCGCTTACGAGATGTATACGACAATGAGGCACCAAATCTTGCACTGGGCACACCATCTACGACACTTTAATAAAATGGATGCCGCCCTACCAAATATCTCTCTGGATACAAATGAGAGCACTTAGGTCCTCGCGCAGGATGTCGCACAATTGACACCGCCATGAGTAGTAGATCTGTAATCTCTTGAAGGGTACATCAATCACATTATATCCATGCACTTGCCCACGGATCACCCGGATGAGGATGACTGTGGAATATAGACTTAGGCAGATTATTGTTACTAATCACGCTATCATCATAAGTGCTGGCAAACTGCAAGAAGATAAATATGATCCTTGCGGTAGGACATTGGCAAGTCGCTATGCTTTCAAATGACTGTAATGTACCTGCTAAAATATTCTAAGGCATGGCACTATATTCCGACTCCTTCGCCCTCCATAATGAATCCCGCGAAAAGAAGTTCACGCAAAACAGAAAGTGGGCATGCCGCTCAACTTGAGAAAGTGATTATTCCAGATAAAGCTTACCGTACTCTCTGGAGGACAGATAATAGGAGAAAAGTGCTCCTTATGATACTCATCAGTCCAGCGAATATTGACTGTTAGAGCTCAATGAGATGAAAGTGCCAACGTGATCATGAAGAAGCAACGGGTGATTTTAGCCTACGATTAACGGCATGTTACTGTGATGCTTGGAATTGGCGACGTATCTTATCCAACAACATCTAAATGCACTGTCAGCGTTTTATTCATCAAGGTCACTGTCTCGAGATGATCAGTGCAGTAATCGATCCAAAGATACTCAAATACATGTTCAAGCTACGAGGATACTGCGTGGACGGCACAGCATATGTATCAATTACGCTTCAAGATTTAGCGCACAGACGAGCTGCTCATCGAATAAAATCGAAAGCGCGCTCCGTAGCCATGTGTTTCCAGCAATTCGTATCATTGAATTCACGGTACATCCTCACTGTTGTTCAAGTACGTAAAGGGATTTGCATGGTCTCCGTCTTGACAAGTAAATTGTCTGACCACAGGAACAACTGGACATGATAATGGATTTATCTACGATAGGATAAAGGAGAAAGCATTTGGGAATGTCCGTGAAGGTATAGATATCGATGTAGAAACGACCGCCTTGAGTCGGTGATGATTATGGCTTGAAACAGGTGGCTCAAATACTTAGTGGGACCTTCGAAGACTTCGTTTGATCGATTGGGTCGATTTTTTTCAAGAATGCGTACACATCATGGATTGTGGATTATCGTTTAGTACACATGCTGGTGTATGCTGAAGATGTTTATGTACCGGGAGCCTGGAAGATATAATCTCACGCACCAAGAATGAACTGAAGATACAATTGTGATGAAGAACACTGGCAAGTATGAGGTTTTGCGGGGAATTGAGATTGTAATGTTCCCGATAGAGATCATAAGACGGGTCAGCGATACTACGTCAATGAAATTGAATCTTTTGCCATAAACTAGTGTAGTATATGGCAATTCTGCTTGAAATCAGCACCAGATAGGTCCTTAATAAACCTCGACCAAAGTCAATGCAACGTCTCATGATTTGTATATTTCTCATGAAAATTATGTCCGACATCAAATAGAAAAATCTATTGTGCATCGGGATGCGCTCACGGATACCCACCGTGTTGCGTAGCGGGTAGCCGAAAATTCGCATAGTTTTCTACCTATAAGGGACAAGTCGCATACCACCTGCTTTGTAAGGCATAAATTGAGGATATTCTGACGCGTTCTAAAATGACGCTATCATGGATCTCAACTTGACTATGCCTTAATCTGTTGCTTCGAATGAGAGTGGATGTGGCGCGAGATCAAAAAAAGGGTTCAATTGTTTAGGTTCTACGAGTGAGGTGGTGTGCATCATCTTATTGACGTCATGACATCTGTACAATAAATAACGATTGCGCTGATAAGGTCAAATCGATCTCTCAATGAAAGTACATATCTTGAACATTGAAGTCATAAAGATCGTACAATGAAAAAAAAATTCGCTGATAGGCCAAATCGATTTCTCACTAAAAATACATACCTTAAATAAGATAATGCACACCACCTCACTCGTAGAACCTAAACAATTGAACCCTTTTTTTGATCTCGCGCCACATCCACTCTCATTCGAAGCAACAGATTAAGGCATAGTCAAGTTGAGATCCATGATAGCGTCATTTTAGAACGCGTCAGAATATCCTCAATTTATGCCTTACAAAGCAGGTGGTATGCGACTTGTCCCTTATAGGTAGAAAACTATGCGAATTTTCGGCTACCCGCTACGCAACACGGTGGGTATCCGTGAGCGCATCCCGATGCACAATAGATTTTTCTATTTGATGTCGGACATAATTTTCATGAGAAATATACAAATCATGAGACGTTGCATTGACTTTGGTCGAGGTTTATTAAGGACCTATCTGGTGCTGATTTCAAGCAGAATTGCCATATACTACACTAGTTTATGGCAAAAGATTCAATTTCATTGACGTAGTATCGCTGACCCGTCTTATGATCTCTATCGGGAACATTACAATCTCAATTCCCCGCAAAACCTCATACTTGCCAGTGTTCTTCATCACAATTGTATCTTCAGTTCATTCTTGGTGCGTGAGATTATATCTTCCAGGCTCCCGGTACATAAACATCTTCAGCATACACCAGCATGTGTACTAAACGATAATCCACAATCCATGATGTGTACGCATTCTTGAAAAAAATCGACCCAATCGATCAAACGAAGTCTTCGAAGGTCCCACTAAGTATTTGAGCCACCTGTTTCAAGCCATAATCATCACCGACTCAAGGCGGTCGTTTCTACATCGATATCTATACCTTCACGGACATTCCCAAATGCTTTCTCCTTTATCCTATCGTAGATAAATCCATTATCATGTCCAGTTGTTCCTGTGGTCAGACAATTTACTTGTCAAGACGGAGACCATGCAAATCCCTTTACGTACTTGAACAACAGTGAGGATGTACCGTGAATTCAATGATACGAATTGCTGGAAACACATGGCTACGGAGCGCGCTTTCGATTTTATTCGATGAGCAGCTCGTCTGTGCGCTAAATCTTGAAGCGTAATTGATACATATGCTGTGCCGTCCACGCAGTATCCTCGTAGCTTGAACATGTATTTGAGTATCTTTGGATCGATTACTGCACTGATCATCTCGAGACAGTGACCTTGATGAATAAAACGCTGACAGTGCATTTAGATGTTGTTGGATAAGATACGTCGCCAATTCCAAGCATCACAGTAACATGCCGTTAATCGTAGGCTAAAATCACCCGTTGCTTCTTCATGATCACGTTGGCACTTTCATCTCATTGAGCTCTAACTGTAACGGGGCACCCTGAAGCTTGTACTGGTGACAGTACAAGCTACTTATTCTGATAACAGAATAAGGCGGTGCCTCGTAACTTCACGTACACTCGTACGTGCAGAGGAAGACGGTAAGAAGAAGCGAGTACTCGGTTAGAGTAAAAAGTAGAACTGTATTTATAATAGTTAATGTCTGCAATAAATCACTATTTATCTTCATCTAACTATGTCTAAATACAAATGTGTAAATCAGTTATCTGCTCACCACTCATTGCGTGCGTCTGTCGTGGCGCGTCTTCGTTGGTTGATATAATGGCCTATATCAACCAATTAGGAACTACTTGGAAGTGCTACAGAATATTGTCCTTATGACAATATTCTGAGAATATAACTCTTATAGTTATATTCTATTAACAATTTCTTATAAATTGTTATGTAACGATTCACCCCGTTACATCACCCCCCTTAACCATCAGTCACTTTAGTGACTGATTGACTAAATGGATACTCGTCCCAAATCATTTGGGACGGGGTTTGCACTTGTTGGTCCGCGTCCACTTTCCAACATCTCATCGCATGGTAAACAAGCCCATGCGATGCGCGAGCAAGGCCGCCGAGAGCGCGTCTGCACGTCTCTGTGCGGACGCCGAAGCAGAAACTACAGCAACTGATGTCCCATCGGTTGCTGAATCGACTCAGCCTGTATCACCTGGTGATGCAGGCGCTGGTCATGAAGACACTCGTGTCTTCACAGAGTACGAGCTCGGTGTCTCGTACTCTCCTGATACGGATGACGGATCCGTATCGACGGCAATTGAATCCAAGCCGCCTGCCAAGCGTGGCATGGACGATGCTTTGCGTCGCAGCATCTTTGGTTCATCTGATGAGTCAGATGAACCATCGCCGAAGCGAAGGCGCTCGAGGTCGCGAGACTCGGGCGCTAATAGTGGTGTCGTTTCTCCAATGGACACCACTTCACAGCGAGGTGCCAGTACTTCTGTCGGCACGTCGCAGGAAGAGCGGGACCGCAATGTGTTGCGTCTCGCTCCAGAAAAAGAAGGCATGGATGCCTCCTAAATTCTGTCATGGATCACTTGTCGGCGACGACGAGTGATCGTTATCGAACACGATTGTTCGATTCGTCAAGGATTCATCACCTTGACCCCAGCGCGAAAGACTATCGCGCTGAACATGAGTTCTTCATCGATGCTTTCTTCAGACATCGATGGTACAGTGGGAATCACAAACGTGATGGTCCCTCACTACTTCAGGCGTGGAACGCCTACATCCATAATCTCGAGGATGTAGGTCGTGACGCTTGGAACGACAAACTTATCAAAGCTCGTGATAAGTTTGAAAAGCGAACCCCGACAGGTGCACGCTACAAGCTGCATCGTCTGTCAAGGGAGAAAGGATTACCCTGCCTCTCTTGGGGAGACTCGTGCCCATGTTGTGTGAACAACTCTGCACGAGCACCTAAGGAGGCTTACCTCCTTACCAGCCCGTGGTGGCGCGTACGTGTCTCTACTGAGATGTACGAAGGGATTGACAACCTGAAATCCCTTTACGACCGTGCCGGGAAGACTTTCTCCGGCGGTCCTTCTGCGGCACAGGATGTGTCGCGTCGTACTGCTCGACCAGACCCAGTACGTCAACCATCAATTGGGAGCGGGGCTCCCAAGAATCCCAGGACGGGGGATAGCCGCGCCACCGGACGAGATAACTCGTCCGACGTCCAGTTCACGTCGCGGTGGTTCAACAGCTGCTCTACTAGATAGCGCTGGCCACCGCGAGAGTCCTCTAATGGAGGTGGAGGAGGAGGAAAGACGCTCTCCACACGATCATGTGGATCGGTGTGTTCCCGAGAGCTTCTTTGATCGCGTAACGCAAGGGTTACGCGACGATCTCGAGCATGAGCGGAATAGGCGTCTCCAGATGGTGGACACTGCCTCGAAGCATCGAGCTGAGTTTGCCTTTGCTCAGCTTGAGAACGAGAGATCTCTGACATCTCTTCGTGACGAGCTAAGGGTAGCTCGTGGGATTGTTGATCGGTCTCGGGCTGAGATAACTGCTCTTCAGACCCTTGTTGATGCCCACCATCGGGAGCACAAGGCTCTCTGCGAGATGCTTGAGCGCAAGGGCGTTCTTCATCGGAAGAAGCAGCGTACTGATGGTACGGCTTAAGCCGACCAACGTAAAACGTGGGATGCGTTCGCATCTTACGTGGTAACTCGATCGTGTATGCATTGCCTAGGCGGTGCAATACACGAAATGGGCCAATGTACTTGGGTAGTAGTTTACTGCTACCCAAGTTAGTCACTACATGTTTTGGTAGATTAACCGTAGACAGTAGGACTAAGTCACCTTTATTAAATAAAAGAGTGTTTGCCCTTCCATTCTTGTCAGCGTTTTGCTTTTTGCTTATCCACCGCTTCGGCGATGGAGTCTTGCACAAAACGGACTACCGTTTCACGAGCCAGTATGAACTCATCTGATGACTCGTTAGCTTCAGTGTGCTGTGAGCGCACTGCAGCGACAACAACCTTTTCTTCAGTGAGGGCTTCCCGCACTCTCACTGGGATCATTGTCTTCAGTGAGGGCTTCCGCACTCTCACTGGCATCATCTTCTTCGATATCGATGTTATCGATATCGGCATCAAACGCAATGACTTCTTCGTCAGAGCGTGATGAGCGTGAACCAATTCGGTTTTTGCTCGCGCGAGTCCCTCCCCCCCTTAAACCAGAGTTACACTCTAGTAAGGTGGGTACACGCGGATGGCGCAAGCCATTCACGTAAAACGGTGTATGTGTCGTGGACGCATGCACCGAGTTGTTAATGGCAAACTCTACCATGGGCAAGGACTCACTCCAACTCTTAAAGGAGTGTACGTATCCTCGAAGTATCTCTTCAAGGACACGATTGGCACGTTCCGTCTGACCATCTGACTCTGGATGATCAGATGTTGACATCTTCAAGCGCGTTCCGAGTGATTTGAACACGGAACGCCAGAAATCAGCAGTGAATCGTGGATCTCTGTCTGATACGAGTTCACGGGGCAACCCATGAAGTCGGAAGATGGTGTCAATAAAGACACAAGCACAGCCACTTGCCGTGATTGTCTCTGGTACAGCCACAAGGTGTACCATTTTGCTGAATCTGTCAACAAATACGAGAATACCCGTATTCCCGCGTGCGTCTTTGGGTAACCTGAAGACGAAATCCATTGAGATGGATTCCCAGCACTCAGCCGGAACCGGTAGAGGCTGTAAAGGTGCACGCAGTGAAGGACTTGACTTCACTCGTTGGCAGACTTCGCATGCGCGAACATACTTTCGCACAAACTGATACTGGCGGGGCCAGTAAAAGTCTCGACTTACCGTGAGATATGTTTTCTCTCGGCCACGATGTCCTCCTATAGGAGCATCGTGATACTCGAACATGATCCGCAAACGCAGATCAGTATCATCTGGAATGACAACACGTGGTGTGTCACCAGAAACGGCTGTATAGTACAGTAAACCGTTACGAGTAGTGTATCGATCTGATGCAGATCGATACGCAGACGACAATCGTTTCAACGATTCTCGAGATGGTTGGGAGAGATGTGACAACAACTTCACTATCTCACCATCTTGGGCGTATGCCCGCCTCACATCATCATACAACGTTGTAGATGGAACTGAGGACGTCATAACCGCAACAGTGACTGTCTCACTGTTGGGTTTCGCGACTGTTTCAAAGTCGGGACGACGTGAGAGTGCATCAGCGACGACATTAAGTCGTCCTGGTTTGTACTCGACCGTAAAGTTGTATTCTGCAAAGAATGACAACCACCGCGCCATTCGTTGTGAAAGGTGCGGGCTGTTCACTGCCGTGCGTAAGGACGCATGGTCAGTGTAAACAACGAAGGGTCTATCTCCTAATAGATAGACTCTGAACTTCGCGAGTGCATACTTCATGGCAAGGAGTTCCTTGTCATGCACTGGATAGTTCCGCTCAGCTGGTTGCAGCTGACGCGACTGATAGCAGACGACGCGTTCAACGCCTTCAAGGTCGTACTGCATTAATGCACAGCCGATTGCGAAATCGCTGGCATCACAGACCACATGAAATGGCCTGTCCTGATCGGCTATTGCTAGGACTGGGGATTGTATCAAGCTCTGCTTGATACCCTCAAAGGAGCGTTGACATTCAGCGTTCCATAACCACCTCTCGTTCTTTTCAACAAACGAGAGAGGTGTACAGTCATCTCGGCGTAATTGCGTGAATACTTATGCAAATACGCCGCTAGCCCAAGGAATTTTCGAAGACCTTTGACATCGACCGGCACGGGCCAGTCGGTGATCGCCTTGATCTTTTCGGGATCAGGACGTACACCGTTCTTACCAACGATGCACCCAAGAAGTGGTATTTCGCTTGCTGCAAAAATACACTTCTTGAGGTTTGCATACAATTGATGCTTTCGCATGATTGTAAGAACTTGTCGGACGTGGTACTTGTGAACCTCAACGTCCGACTTTCCATCCATAGCTCGACTATGGATGAATACGTCATCGAAATAACTCGGCGCGAATTCTCGTACTGGCCTCAACAGATGTGATACACACCTGTTGAACGTGGCAGGGGCATTACTGAGCCCTTGTGGCATTACTAGCCATTCCCAGAGCATGCCGCTAGGCGTGCTAACTGCGGTATAGGGTATATCCCGTTCCCGCATTAGGATTTGATAGAAGCCATCCATCAAATCCATGGACGAAAAGATGGTACTCTTTGACACACCATCAATGATTACGTCCTTCCTCGGTATCGGCGTCTGAGCCGGTACCGTTGCAGCGTTCAATTTGTTAAACGCGTGCACTATCCGCCACCCTCCTGTTGCTTTTCGCACACAGAAGGTCGGAGAGCTATGTGGGGAAGTTGATTCCCTCACATGGCCCGCTGCTAAACGATCGGCAAAGAACTTGTCGATCGCAAGTACTTGTTCACGAGGCAGTGGCCACTGCTTCATGACACAGTACTTCGAGCCTGGTTTAAGCTCGACTTCGTGTCGAATACCTTTATCCTTCGGTAATTCGCACGGAACAGTTTCAGGGAATACATCCTTGAATTCAACCAAATCCTCATAGAGAGGGTTTTCCTTGAGCGATTCCCATGATTGGGACTCATATCGCTCAATTCGTGTCTTTTCATCTAGGACACTCTCGTCCATAGATGAACTACTGAGAACTCTCTCGTTCTCAGTAAACACTGTTGCTGACCTTATGTCGGTTACACACTCGTCGTCAGCGACGAGTATGCAGATCTGCTTGACTTTGCCACTACGCAGATCACGCAAGAACCTTTTATGTTCGAGCGTTGGCAACTGAGTGATCTCCGAAGTTAACTTCGGAGGCGCAATCAGATCAAGTGTATAAGCGCCTACACATGATCCGTTATTGACTATGACATTCAATGTCTCTGTCATTTCCTGGGGACTTATTCCCTCAGGCTTCGAAGGACTTATTCCTTCGTCTTCCCGGGGACTTATTCCCGCGGGTTTCGGGGAACTTATTTCCGCCGTATTTGTAATCTTGGGACTTATTCCCTTTACTTCCTCTAGCTGGGGTTGCGCAACCACAGCGAGATCCTCTACGAAAGACTCTCCAGTCGATCTAGGATTATCGTTTCGCTTAACCTGAGCGATCGATTGTTTCTCTTCTAGATGTTCCCCTCTAGGGATACATCTTTGTCCCAGTCCACCCGACTTATTCGAGTGGTGGACCTTCGGCGCAGCCTGTGTTTCCTCACAGCCGCCGGAACTTTGCTCCGAAGTGTAACCGTTTGGTACACTAAGGTTTTGTGCAGTCGTACTAACGACCGTACCACAAGTGAGTCCATCGCACTCACTCGTAGTACATCCACACGCTTGTGGACGCTCCAAAACGTTCATCAGATGGCCATCTGATGAACAAGCGGCAGGCATCGTTACTGTCCGATGTTGCCAGTTTACCCGTGGTTCGTACCTTCTGAGCCACGGTATTCCAAGGATGACATCAAATTTGTCATCCAAATCCAATACGATAAAGTCATCGTCATATTGGGTATCTTCTAGCGTATAGTGAATCTTCACTATACGCTTCATGACGGTTACGGATGCGCCTGTCGCAAGACGTACCATCATCCTCGTAGGAGGTGTGTCACATTCACTGAATTTAAAGTGACCATCTTCTAGCGATTGGCGTCGCACAAAATTGTTGGACGCCCCACAATCGACTAGAGCTCGAAGGGACAACTTATTCGTCACTTCGAGTTTCAAGGTAATGAGTGAGATCTCATTACCTAGAGCAGCAACGCACAATGTCTGTGTGTTGGGAGCAACCTTCATCAAGAGGCCTACAAATTCTCTTGACGTTGCTGGATCAGTAGGGTGCTCCGCACCTACTGATCCTGTCCGTTTTTTTGACGGTCCATCCCGTTGTTGCGTCTTTGCACCAACTGCGGACCCTCGTCCCTGCCCCTTTCTCATGGGTGGACGGTCACTACGCCCAGTGTCGCGAGACACTGGACGAGGGGCACTACACTCGTAAGCGTAGTGTCCTGTCTTTTGACATCTGTTGCATCTCTGCAACTTCTTGTAGCCTGTAGAGCGAGCCTTCTCGCTCTCTACATAACAAAGTTCCATCGGCTCTGGACCTCCGTTGTCATATCGTCTCGGTTGACGATATGATGTCGAGCTGGCGCGAGCCTGTCTCAGACTGAAGTCTTCCTGCTCCGCAATGGAAATGGCTTGTTCTAGTGAATCTAGTTCAAGCCGGAACAGGTGAGTCTTGACGGGACCATCCGCAAGACCCTGCATGAACACCGAAACCAACGTGTGTTCATCCACTGGATTGGAACTTATACAACTCGTAAGATGTCGTATATGTTGAGCGTAAGCGTGCACATCTCGCTTACCCTGCTTGAGCTTCAAGAGTTCGGTTCGAGCCCTGAACTCAGCTCTAGGCGGTTCAAACGTTTGTCTGAGCCGCGACTTGAAGACTTCCAACGATCCAAACGCATATGGGTCGTGCAACTTGAGCCCCAGTGCCCAAGTCTTGGCACGTCCTGCCAGATTTGACTGGGCAAATGCAACTTGCATATCCCCGTCGTCGATGCGACGCGCCCTTATGGCGTCATCCAATTCGACGAACCATCTCAAGAGGGA